CAGTATTAACACCGATTCCCTGCAAGTTGTTTACCATCTCGTACAGGTCGGGTATTTTTTCATCATGCTGGAAGACAGCTAGAGTCCAACCAATCCCCAAAAAAGGGAACAAGAACCTGCCCAACAACTACAGGCCCATTGCCCTGTTATCAGTAATCTCCAAAGTGATGGAGAAAGCCATCAATATTGAGCTCATCAAATATCTGGAGAGCTCAGGAATCATCAATGATAGACAATACGGCTTTCGCCACCGAAGATCTACTGGAGATCTACTTGCCTACTTCACCCATTTATGGCAATCTTCAATAGAAAAACACGGGGAATCTCTAGCTGTCGCGTTGGACATATCGAAAGCATTCGACCGTGTTTGGCACGAAGGACTCCTCCACAAACTACCATCATACGGCTTACCACCTCAGCTATGCCATCTCTTATCGAGTTTTCTTTCAGGCAGATCACTTCATGTGGTGGTGGACGGCGTATCGTCTGATACCATTGGCATCAATTCCGGCGTTCCACAAGGATCAATTTTGGCACCAACATTATTCCTGCTTCATATCAATGATCTGTTGGGAGTAACAACTTGCCCCATCCACAGCTTTGCAGATGATAGTACCCTCCATACTGCGTTCTCTTCCAGAATTCCCATTTCTTCCCAGGAAACTAAGAACTCACGGCGCAGGCAGGTCAATGCTGTCAATGAAGATCTTGCTGAAATCACAGCCTGGGGAACAAACAACCGGTATCTCCATCAGCAACACTCTTTCATGGGATAATCATGTCAGATCCATCGCAAAAGCTGCTTCACAAAAACTCGGATTCTTGTTCCGTGCGAAAAGCTACTTTACACCTCAACAGCTTCTTATGATATACAAAGCGCAGATACGGCCTGTTCTAGAATACTGTTCCCACATATGGGGTTCAGCACCAAAACATACGCTGATGCTCTTAGATTCCATCCAGAGGAGAGCCATTCGCCTGGTGGGTGACGCCACACTCACTCACTCTTTGACATCATTGGAACACCGTAGAAAGGTTGGCGACCTTTCACTATTCTATCGATACTTCCAAGGGAAATGTTCTTCGGAAATCTCTGCTATCATCCCTTCACTAGCAATACCAATCAGACGAACTAGACAAGCCCAGTCAGCACATCCTTTCGTTGTCAACCTCGAAAGATGTCGAACAGCACTTTATCAAGACTCCTTCATCCATAGAACGGCTAGGCTCTGGAATTCATCGCCTGTGGAAGTATTCCCAACAACATATAATCTCCAAAAGTTAAAAAAAAATCCAACACCTACCTCCTGTCCCTATCCTCCCTAGGAACGCACGATGTTCTTTGAACATTATAGGGATTCCCTTTCGTGCGCTCCAAGCGATAAAAAAAAAACTGAGAATATATTATTATGGAAAGTAGAAAATGTATTCCTGAAGCTCTACGTTACGATGTCCTCCAAATGCCGCATGATGGACGCCCAGGAATAAGTGCGATGCACTATGGCACGATACCATGTTCATTGGCCAAACATAGATATGGATCTAGTGAACCATATGGATTCGTGTTCTACTTCGAAGCAAAATGACAGAAGTGTTTCTTTATATCCATAGGGAGTTCCCTGCCTGTACCATGGTTAAGAATTCATATTGACTCTGCTGGTCGTTATGAAAAAAAATGTGGCTTATTATAATATTTGCGATGGTCAGAAGAGATTTCCATGAAGAACATAACGACACAGAAAACAATTGAAGCTTTGACAGAAGTATTCGCCCGATTTGGACTTCCTGTTTCAGATAATGGACCACAACTTACTTCTATCGAATTCGAACAGTTTTGTTGCGAGAAAAGTTTTTACCACATATTAGTGACGCCATATATCACTCAAAATCGAATTGCTTATAGCCGAATAACGAGCTGTTCGAACTTTCAAAGAACGAATGTCTGCAAGTGAGAAGACATTAAACATTGAACATATACTGAATAATTTTCTTTTTGCATATCGCAACTCTGTTCGAAGATCTACTGGCCGAACTCCAAGTGAACTTATGCTGAACAAACGTCCAAGGTCTCCTTTTGATAAGCTTAAGCCAGACATTGCCAGGAACATGGAACCAAAATGGGAACAGAAATTTTGACATGATTGAGGAGTCAGATCGCACAAAGTATCGAATACCAATATCAACAAACAGTTTGGGTTGACAATCCTGAACGCAAAAGAGGCTGTCTTTCTGGTAACATAGTCATTTCATTTGATTTTTCACGCACTCTTTTTGGATATTCAACAGATATAATTCAATGTTCGACGTGGCAAGTAGCCAGGAAAGTAGTTGTTTTCTGTTGAATATTCAGAATGATATTATGTGCATATATTTTTATATATGAAGTAGAATGCAAATGCTCTACTTCATAAAGTTTTGTTTTCAAATTCATATCGTGTGTGTTCAATAGATATAATTTAATATTCGTCGCGGCATATAGCCAGGAAAGTAGTTGTTTTCTGTTGAATAAACCGAGAAAGAATTAATATTTCCATCACATGGAGAATGCGAATTCTCAATGTATCTCTTTAAATATACAGGGTGTTTGGTGCGTGCCAAATTGAAATGGTCGAATGAAGGGGTCATCTGCTATCCTTTAAGACTAGTTAACACCTTTCATGCCCTGTGGATTATTTTCAATCGTATTTTTATCTGTTTATCAAAAAAAGACCCAAATTCCACATTCAAATTCAAATTTTGAAAAAAGTATTATGTGTATTGTGTAAGAGTACTTTCGAATACAAAACTAGTGACATAAGTCATCTAGTTTTACTTTTATTCACTCGCAAAGTTTCGAAATATGTGAAACTCAAATTAAAGCTTTGACTTTACATGGCTAGGCTCTGAAATTCATTGCCTGTGGAATTATTCCCAACAACATATAATCTCCAAAAGTTCAAAAAAAATTCCAATACCTACCTCCTGTCCCTATCCTCCCTAGGAACGCACGATGTTCTTTGAACATTATAGGGATTCCCTTTCGTGCGCTCCAAGCGATAAAAAAAAAGATCTTCCAACTCCCTCAAAAGTTCTCTAGTCCATACTCTTGCCAATAATGTGTCACATGCCATTAATATCTTTCAACAACTTTGTGAATTCGCTAGAAATGTTAATCAAGTCTTATAAGGCTGTTATTCAAAATGATCTGAAAAATTATTTTTGCGTAACTGTTACTCCAGAAACAAGTAAAATTTATATGTCTTGCACAACGTGAATCTGTTTGGAACAAATCACGAACTGCCACCGATCCCATAATTTTTTAGTCGAGGCATCACTGCCTCTGCTTCCTAACGTGTTCATTTCATCGTACTCCGCGATTCTTTCATGCGTGGATTGGGCGCGATGGCCCTCTTGTATGGCTGCCACGTTCCCCAGACCTAACTCCGTTAGACTTTTATGTCTGGGGACCTGCCAAAGGGCTGGTTATACGCCACGGAAGTTCCAACTAGGGATGTACTAGTCCAACGCATAGAAACGGCCTTCGATACCATTAAGGAGGAAATACGACATCGAACAACAACTGTCGAAATACGAAACAGATGTCGAGCCTGCATTCGCAACAGAGGTCAACAATTTGAACAGGATTTGTGAGATTTATGAAATGAATGCGAAATAAATGTTGAAAATGCAATTTTTTTTTATTTCAAGTATAATCCACGAAACAATAGAGATACGAGACTAATTTCACCTCATAAGAGTGAGATAACAAATTTAAAAGGTTCAGGTATCATTCAAACAAAAATGATTTTTTAAATCATAATTCTGAATATTTGCCTTATGTGACTCGACTCACAATTCTAGCGAATTTAAAAAGTTGTTGAAAGATATTTATGGCATGTGACACATCATTAGCAAGAGGATAAACTAGAGAACTTTCGAGGCAGTTGGAAGATCCTGGTCGCTGTTGTTTTTTTTTGTAGTCATGTAAAGTCACAGCTTTAATTTGAGTTTCACATATTTCGAAACTTTGCGAGTGAATAAAAGTAAAACTAGATGACTTATGTCACTAGTTTTGTATTTGAAAGTACTCTAACACAATACACATCTGAATAGAATTAAAATCCAGAGTCTACGCCTTATACTTTTTTCAAAATTTGAATTTGAATGTGGAATTTGGGTCTTTTTTTGATGAACAGATAAAAAGACGATTAAAAATAATCCACTGGGCATGAAAGGTGTGAACTAGTCTTAAAGGATAGCAGATGACCTCTTCATTCGACCATTTCAATTTGGCACACGATGCACCAAACACCCTGTATATCCATTTTTTTGTGTTCATAAATATATCTGAGAATATTCCTTTTCAATACTTTCACCCAATCAAGGGGTTCAATTTCGAACGATAAAAACTTGTTATTTTATTTTTATAGACCTCAATTGCAGATTCGTGATTGGGTTTTCTCAATTCAGAATTTCTTTGCACGTCCTGTATGATGAATATTATATTATTTCATCATTTTATTATTTACCAACCTATGCTCACTGAAAATTGTTTTACTTTCCTTCTTCATAGAGTTGAAAGAAAAGAAAAGTACGTGGTTAAGATGCCTTGGTTCAAGAAACTGGCCGGTACCATTACATGACAGTACTCACAAATGCAACAACAAGCAGGGGAATATTAAAATGAATAAACCCTGTTATAATTGATATATTTTTTTCCTCTGTAAAACAAAAAAACAACAATAAAGTTATGGCAAATTTTGGCATTGAATGCTTTGGCATTAAACCCCACAAAATAAAAATTAATACTTCTAAACAAAACAAAAATATTTACAAATAACATGGTATGAAATTGGTGATAATACTACAAGTATTAAACTCTACTACCATAGTGTGAAAATACTCTGTAAAAATACTCTATGACTAAGGCATTGTTAACATGATAAAAATTTATTAATAATATTAAGTATGTTTTTGATAAATTAAAGTAGGTAAAGTTTCAAATTATCACTAGAAGTTGACTAATTTACTTCCATTTTACGTTCTTCCTTGATCTCAGGAAGTTCTATATCACTAATAAATTCCTCTTTAATTATTTCACCTGTTTGTACATTAACGAATTGTTTTTCACCCTCGTTATTATTGAAACGTTCGGCAACATCGGCTCCCAAACTTGGTAAGAAAAGTTCGGACCCGCGTTCTTCAAAAATTAGTTTCTGATCATCTTCAATGACACAACCTTCCATTCTACTGGGTTCATCTACTTTGTTTGAGGTTAACTTTATATTATCACATATCATGAAACCCTCCACTTGGTTCACTTTATTTGGCATGAAATGAAGTTTGGTGTGTTCTTTTAAAAAGTGACTTTGTGGCACAGAATAATCACAGTGTTCGCAAGTGTAGGCTGACTTGACGCCTGAAATGTTTGAATGGCGTTTTTGATGATTGTCAACAGCATCTTTTCTAGTATTCATGTAGGGGCAATTTGGGCACCAGTAATGCTTCCTCTCTTCCGATTCCATACTGTGTCCCGCCTCTCGGTGTTGCAATATCGCAGCCACTTGTTGGTCCGCCAAGCTTGGTTTCAATGGCCTACTTGCATCCTCAGGAATGATTCCTGTGGAGGCTTCTGCACTTTCGTCCACTTCCAGGTCTCCCTCGTCACTCGGTCGTCTCGCAGCGTGGGCTTCGGCATTCAACTTGTGCTTTTTCAGGTGCTGTACGAAGTTTGCATAATACTTGACCGAGTAATCACAGTGATCGCATTTGTAGCGTTGCTTTGACCCGTGTAGACCCAAATGCACTTTGTACTGTTCCCTTTTTTCGAATGCGGTGGGGCACATATGACACTTGTATCTCTTCTCCTTCAACTTCCCGTTTTTCAAATAAGGCTGGTAGATGAATTCTGGATTTCCTCGCATTAGCTCATTGATGTCGATGTCTGGAAATTTTTGAGGAGGTGAAGCAGGTACGTTGATCATCTCAGCTGCTTGTTTTTGTTCAGCTTCCGATTTTTGCAGGAACAAATCTGTTCCTGATAATGGCACGTTTTGCGACGATTTCACGGGTTTACTTAATATACTACACAAAGTACTCATCTCCTTGTGGAAGCTCTTGTTTTCTGCGATTTTCCATATAGTATCTCCATTTTCCGTTTTTGTGATGCTGGTTTTGGGCTGAGGATAGTTCATGCTGGTCAAATACATGTTTTGCAATACTTTCGTTCTATCTTGGTATTCGTTAGTGTGCACTTTGGAATGAGAGTTTAAGTGAGGTTTTTCGCGGGAGGTGTAAGTGCAATGATCACATTTGTAGAACAGTCTCAAACCGTGGAACCTTTTGTGGATTCCGAACTCGTTTTCTTTGAGAAATCTGGCTGGGCATTCTTTACAGAAGTAAAGGAGCGAACCTGATCCAGATGAACTATCTATTTCTTCAGTTTCCATTGCTGAAAAGTCGATGACTTCGCTATCATCTTGAATTGCACTATCTGGTATTGGTTGTATGCCAGTGGATCGGCTTAGTTCCTTGATTTGTTCTTCATCAGTTTTGGTAGGGTCTACCAAACGATGTACTATACCATACATCCCTTGATGTACCTTCGAATGAGATGATAACACACCGGCATTGTTGCATACGTAATTACATTCAGTACACCTGTGCTCGGTGTCATTCAATCGATTCGAGTTATGATTTTTCTCACGAATGCTGTGCATTTTTTCGTGTTCCTGAATATTGACTTTTCGCAAATTGACGTGTGGACAATATCTGCATTTGAACATTTTGGAGAACTTGCCATTCTTCGATACCCACACAAGTGGTATATCTGGATAATTTTGGAAATCTATTGTCAATAGGATTGGAGGCACTTCTTCAATTTCATCAGTGATTTCGTCCAAGAACATGCTTTCACCATTTTGTTTGTGGGTGGCAATATTGATTCCGTGAACCTTTAGATGCTGATGAAGTAAATGACGCTTGCTAACATTGTACGAACAGTGGGTGCAAGAGTACTGCCCCCCTCTTGGCTTATGGAACTGTTTGTGGTAAGTATATTGTGATTTGGAGTTTGTGACATATGGGCATGTCGTACATCTGAACTTTTTTCCTTCATTTTCTGGCGTTACTTTTTCCAACATTTTACTGATACCAGGATCAGAAACGCCATGCAGTCGCAGGTGGTTGCACAGTTCTTCTTTATGGGATACATAGAATTTGCAGTAGTAACATTTGAATACATTATTATCCGGAGATATAACATGACCTGAAAGATGCTGCTCGAACTCAGCATCATCGTCGTTGGAAAATGGACAGAAGTTACATTTGAATGTTCCTTCTTGGGTAATGTCGATGTGGTCTGGTTCATCTGTTATTTCTTCAACTTCAACTTTTTCGTGGCCATTTTTGTTGCTTACTACTCGGATATCTCCACTGTGTTTCAATCTGCAGTGTCTCTGTAATAAAAAAGCAATTATATTAGTATTTATTACTTCGAATTTGTGAACACATAAAGCGGCATCAAATTATACAACAAACAACGAAATAAATAATATAGGTACATATAAGATGCCAGTTCAGCATAACTCGAAATGAAGACATGCATATTTGTTGTATATATAGAGTGTTTTTGAAAGTGAGGTGATTCATTTCCATCAATAATCGCCTTTATAAGAGTTGAAAACTAACGAACTTATAGACAATTGAAAATTTTATTATTTATTATAATACGGATCTGGTGATTTCAATCTGGTATCGCACGATTGGTAGATTGGTCTGACTTCAATCAACGACAACGTTATGAGATGAATTGTTCAGAGTGTGTAGTACATTTTCTATGGTGTAGAGGCAATTTGCAGCCACATAATGTTGATTACATATTATATTCTCGCATTCAGATGATGTCCTGGAAAAAGAATATGTGTTGCGGTCATTAACTATCAATGTCCATTTGAAAACGAAAAAAGGAATCTCAAGTGTTCGCTAGAAATTGAAAGTACCACTTAAAGGTACAGTCAATCAAATCGTTCATGACTTGGTGAAATCGACGTCATCTGCAAAAACGGATGGGTTGGATTCCCTAAAGCTCCGCGAATTGAACTCCCATCTACAGGGTCAGTCGAAAATGTGTACCGAGCTGTCTGGAGGTGATAGTTCACTGAAAAATAAGTACAGTTTGATGGATGAACTAATGGCCCAAAATGTATATTGAGGGAGATATATTCTTTCAAAGTAGATCAAACTAAAATATTTTTTCGCATAACGTCTAAACGGTGAAAGCCACCAGATAAGTCACATTTTTCTGACACACTTTTACATTTCTGATATAGTTATGAAGAGTGTTTCTAGTAGGTGGGTCATGATTTTCTCAAGACAACTTGTTTCCTCGTATTCTTTTTGATGAAAAAATAAAATAATAGAGCAAAAAAAAATACATTGAAAAGGTAGGTACTCTTATCAAGAAACAAAAATTGTAACCGTTTTCAAAATATTAGATTTTTTCTAGTAAAATGATATTAGCAGAAAAATCAATCAGTAATAATATTTCAGGAGACCTGGAACTTTTTAGCCACTATACCATCTCTATTTCTGTTTTCGCAATCTTTGCACAATCCTCAAAATTGTTCTAGAATTTGGAACGCGTCGAGCGGCATAACGAATAAGCAGCAATTCATATCATGAACGTCAATATTGAGAATAAAATTGTTCATGACCTAAAATATTGTTACCGATGATATCAAGTGACTACAAAAACTGAAATATCTCGCAAACTGTCACAATTTTTGTATTTTGATAGGAGTACCGTTTTCATGTAATTTTTTTTGCTCTTTCAAATGCCTCAATTTTTCACCGAAAATAATATAAGGAAAACTAAAAACACCCTTTATATCAATATCAGAAATGTAGGAGTGTAGCAGAAAAATGTATTTAATCAATCTCAATTTCGTGGCTTTTACCGTTGAATATACATTTTGGGATATTAGTTTATTCTTCAAACAATACTTATTTTTAAATGTACAATCACCTCCGAAGAGCTTGGCACACATTTTTGAGTCACCCTGTATATTGTCCCAACTTCTTTGGTTGTTTGTACTTGTCTATTTTGTAAACATAGAGTTGCACACCCTTTATCTATTTTGTTGGTGAGTTTCTGTAAGTACGCGTTAGGCGTTCTTTGCTGAAAGTATTCGATAATTTCGGTGCATAACATTTGAAAACACCCTGTATTGATATAATGAAGTAGGAATTATTTTATAACCGACTATATCAGTGATTTGAGTATTTGTACCTTGTTTTCATTATTTTGTCAAAGTGTAATAATTGAATAAACAGATTGTATTTGATCATTAAATTATACAAAGAATGCGTTTGGGGTTCTTGAAGGATATTTTGTATCGCCGATGCTAGTGGAAAAGATACCTACGTCAAACATCATTTTGGCGAACATAATATTATATTACCATAATATTTATAGAGTATTCTACATAATCAACAGGAATTAAGCATACGCCCAGTCAACCATGTGATTTATAAAATATGTACACGAGACTTCACATTGTCACATACCTCTCGCAACCGAATATGATCACGTCACTGTGACGTCCCTAATTAGTGATTTTTCGTCAGAGACGTCACACACTAATTTATAACGTCACTATGACGTACTTTCTATGACGTGATAATCACGTCATCTCGACGTCGAGTGAGTGTCACTTAGAAGGGTAAAATAAGACGTCAGTTTCATGACGTTACAGGGACGTCCTGTCGACGTCCATGTTTCCCAGACCATATCTAAACCATGATGTATACTTATACATTATCATGTGAAACCGTAAGGTTTGTGACGTACCTATATATACAGGATGATGGGCATTTTCAGTGTCGAAAAGTTTTCAGAAAAAGTAGTTTTTTATTAATTTTACACTATATTTATAGAAACATGTACGACTTGGCAATTTTATATATATGCTTCTTACATGCAAGTTTTATTGGAATTATATATACCCAAAAAGTTATAGAAAACTTTTTTCAAACTTTGACACCCTGTATATCTCGGAAACCAATCAATCTATATATTTATGTATACAAATGATAATATAGGTGTACCTATATTGGAACCGTCACTTTTATGACGTTACACTGACGTATCTATGACGTCTAAAAATCACGTCGGTGTGACGTACCAATTTTGTGGGGTTCGTCATTCAGGAAATTTGTCAGAAATTTGCTATTCAGATTTTTGTTCGGTGACAAAGAATACATGAATATACGTTACTCAACAAATTGAAGCTAAATTCACCAACATCCTTTACATTGATATCAAACTATTCTTGGTTTGCTTACATCTCGCCGACACATACTACATAATTTTTGATACAAATAAGAGTAATTGATCACATTCTGATGGAGATGCGGAACAAACGTGAGTGATATGACGTCATTAGGCTGTGACTTATTCACGTCATTTATCACGTCTTGCGACGTCAACTCCTGACGTCACCTTGGTCATTCAACTGACGTAAAAAGACGTCAGTGAAACGTTATCTGGTTGCCTGGGACGATACCGCATTTGGAGTCGCAAACATGTAACTGATATACTATGGCAAGGAACGTTCGGATACAAAGGGCGACATCACATAGAAAATTACTACCAGGTCATATACAAGTGTGCATTCAACATCACATGCGACATGATGGTGGCAATAAATTGATATCAAGTAATTGAATGTCATGAATATTGTTTTCTACGATCGAGCAAAAATCAGGTATCACTACTTTTTGCACTCTTTAGTGTTGCCTTTTTACATCAATGAGTATTTTTTCCAAGTTGAAAATTTTCTCATTGTGAATTTTTAGCGAATATTTTAATTCGTTTGATATTACGTAGGTACTTCCAAGTAATATACGAAAATGTTTAATAGATAGTTAGGTTGATTGGCATTTACATTTTTCAGCTATCAATGCATGTATACAATTTCACAACTGTTTAAAATGTTTTAACAAAATTGAACAACAATTGATAGACAGGGGGATTCATGTCGAATTGTACAAAAAGCAATACGGTGGAATCCTGACATGAAAACATGATAATTGGCCAAATTAATATGACCTTAGTAAAATGTTGATGGTTAACTATTTTGAAATATTCAATTAAGTATTTTTGGAGAGGATATGTGATATTATTTTCCCAGGTCCTGAATACATATCTTCTTAGTTGAACTGCGATTATATAGTAGTCCTGGTGAGTAAAGAAGATTAGCTATATCTTTCAAAATATTTTCCAGAAATCACCATAGTGGCTTTCCTGAATATTGTGGTGGTTCTTAAATACCAACCTAAATACTTTAGATTTTGTTTTTAGGTTTTGGGCCACATACCAGACTATGAATCTACCAACTGATAACATTTGATGATTTATAATTCAAGATATTATACAGGGTGAGTCAGTGGTTTGAAGCAGGACTTCAACAGCTTGGAAAACATATTTCTATGTTGAATAGTTCTAGTGAACATATATGCGTGAGTGCTTCGTTTCCAATATACAGAGGGAGTCAAAGTTTGAGATTTTTTCAATGTTTTTCTAGTTTTCTCTCACAATTTTCAAAATAATCAATTGAAATTTTGGTATACCTATTACACATGCGAAGAACTCAATATTTTCGACTATTAGGCGATTACGATTACCTACAGCGTGATATACTTTTGGGGGTTGTACCCAATTTAACCCTCTCGAACTTTTCTGCGTGCTGCCTCTGCTTTTCAAGTAAACATGAATTTATATCATCTGTTTTATTTGGGTACTTTCTGCTCCCTTATGTTTTTCGAAAACTGTATGGATTTCGAGATAAATGCCAAAAATAATTAATTTGTCATAAAACTTTATTTTTCGTCAACGTTCCATTCGACTTTTCTTGATAATTGACTAGAAGACCTGGAATGATCGAAAGCTTTTATAACGCATATATTTTTAAATGAGATTTGTATCTCAGAATAGTATGTTCTTTAAGCTGTTGAAGTCCTGCAACAAAAAACTGACTCACCCTGTGTATTTGGAGAGGTATATTGGCTAAATATTTAACATTTAGGAGATGAACAATACGTCACAAACTTATGAATACAAAAAGGAGCATTTCACATTCAAATTCAAATGGAATATAAATACAAGAATATTACACTTGTTCAAGAATTGGCATTTTTATATTACGATCTGAAAGATATTATTGTGTTGTGAAACATCTAATAAATGTTTTATCAGTATATTGAAGTGAATTGATTAGTTATTTACATCGGTAGGAGCTCTAGTTTGATGAATATTTTACTGGTTGTATGTAACCTTGTGACTTCGATATCAGATATAAGATGTTTGTTATATCGCTATGTTCAAATATCACACGATGGTCGATTGTTCGGTTCATTTATAAAAAGGTGACATTATTTATATTTTTTTATGTTCCCA